CACATTGAGGTCTTGGCCAAAGTGCATGAACCTGAGAAAGAATATTGTTTATCAGTAGGTTAGACAAATGTCCATTTTCATTGCAAATGGGGTCATTCATTAAAATTCACCGCCCAAAAACCAATTTGATGCATATTTAATAATTCCTTTTGATGGAAACACAGAAATGCATCAGGTCAAACCGATGCTCATGTTATTGACGCTAGCCTGAACTAATTGGTTAAAGTAAATACTTGCACGAGTGACTCAATCAATCGTCTTTTTAAACACCATAAAAGTGGGCTTTGGTGAAATGTGTGACAAGCGCGTGCTAGGAGTTTGTAAAAAAAAGCGTCAAATGCACCATTTAATAAATTGACAACTATGGTAATGGGAGAATTAACGTTAAATGTGGATTACAACTTTGAAAATTTACCTGTCGTATACAATAAGAGGTTCCGTTTCGAAGTGCTACTTAATCATCCATAAACTTCAGTTTTTCACATCCATCCTCGAATCTGATGGTGCGGAATACACCTGATGTCTATAACTTCTCAACCACACTTCGTCTTCTGATTGGCTGGAAACCAGAACATGTGATTTTTAAAAAATAAAACTTTAATTTTATTCACATGATTTAAAATAGTTTTAAAAAATGGCCAAGGGAAGATAACTGACCGTATAATATAAAAATATAGGTAATATCGGTATTTTTGAATCCTGCTGGTGAAAACGTGCACCTCATGAATATTAATTACGCAATGCGAAGGTCCGTCAGTTCTCCTAACTGATTGGCTCGAAGGCAGACGTTCGTAAGTTGGTCGCTTAACGAGAATTAAAGGTGTTTTGTGTCATTTTTTGACGTTAAAATGTGCAGAGACTACTACGACTAAAATTATATATAAAATGAGTTACGTGAAACTATACCCTCCCCAGCAAATACACTAACGCAGTAATATCAAACGACTATCGTAGGTCTATTCTGACCAGCGCCGGAAAAATAAGAAAAGTACTGAAAAAGTAACCCGTTACATGGCACATATTATTATTATGAATATTAATAAATGACTCGTGAAATCTACGTGACAGTGCCGTCTATTCATTAACACCTGAATAATAACTTGTATAGCCACTGAAATGAAACCACACAAAGAAAATAAAAATATAAAAATATATTATTTGGACTCCAGTACTAACCTTATTTTCGTCACAGAGCACATGACCATAATCATTATGGCACTGCAATAGTTTCACAACTAGAGGGAGTCATGTCAACTCAAAACAGTACAAAACACAAAGCATTTTCATTAGTTTTAATTTATGAACATGAAATGAATAATGCAAACAGAAACTAACACTGACTGAGGTGTTATAAATTCTACTCATGAAGTGTAATAAAACTACAGTGGTAAATATCAGTTCATTGCTTACTTATATATACATATATATATATATGATCATCATATGTATATGTATATATATATATATATATAT